GGTATTTTATACTATTTGTGGCTATCGTGAAAGGTGATGTTTCTCTGATTTCCCTCTCTACTTCTTTATCCTTTGTGTATAGGAGGGCTACTGATTTTTTGGAGTTGATCTTGTATTCTGCCACATTACTAAAGGTGTTTATCAGCTGTAGGAGTTCTTTGGTAGAGTTTTTGGGGTCGCTTATGTACACTATCATATCGTCTGCAAATAACGAAAGTTTAACTTCATCCTTTCCAATTCGAATCCCCTTGGTCCCCTTATGTTGTCTTATTGCTATTGTTAGAACTTCAAGCACTATATTGAAGAGGTATAGAGAGAGTGGACAGCCGTGTCGTGTTCCTGATTTTAGTGGAATGGCTTTGAGTTTCTCTCCATTCAATTTGATGTTAGCTGTCGGCTTGCTGTATATTGCTTTTATTATATTTAGGTATGATCCTTGTATCCCCTAGCTCTCCAACACCTTTATCATAAATGGGTGTTGAATTTTGTCAAATGCTTTTTCAGTATCCAATGAAATGATCATATGGTTTTTTTCTTTCAGTTTATTTATATGATGGATTACATTGATAGATTTGCATATGTTGAACCAGCCCTGCATCTCTGGGATGAAGCCCACTTGATCATAATGGATGATTTTTCTAATGTGTTCTTGGATTCGGTTTGCCAGTATTTTATTGAGAATTTTTGCGTCGATGTTCATGAGTGAGATTGCCCTGTAATTCTCTTTCTTGGTTGTGTCTTTGTGTGGTTTTGGTATCAGGGTAACTGTAGCTTCATAAAAAGAGTTTGGCAATGACTCTTCTGTTTCTATATTGTGAAATACATTAAGGAGTGTAGGTATTAGCTCTTCCTGGAAGTTCTGGTAGAATTCTGCATTGAAACCATCTTGCCCTGGGCTTTTTTTGGTAGGGAGATTTTTGATAACAGCTTCCAATTCTTCACGACTGACAGGTCTATTTAGATTGTTCACCTGGTCTTGGTTCAACTTTGGTATATGGTACTTATCTAAAAAAATGTCCTTTTCTTTTACATTTTCCAATTTTGTGGCATACAGGCTTTTGTAGTAAGATCTAATGATTCTCGAAATTTCCTCTGTGTCTGTGGTTATGTCCCCCATTTCATTTCTGATCTTATTAATTTGCATGTTCTCTCTCTGCCGTTTGATTAGTTTGGATAGGGGTTTGTCGATCTTGTTGATTTTCTCCAAGAGCCTGCTTTTTGTTTCATTGACTCTTTGGATTGTTTTCTGTGTTTCTATTTTGTTGATTTCAGCCCTCAGTTTGATTATTTCCAGTCTTCTACTCCTCCTGGGTGAATCAGCTTCTTTTTTTTCTAGATCTTTCAAGTGTGCTGTTAAGTCTCCAATGTGTGCTTTCTCCGTTTTCTTTAATTGGGCACTTAGTGCTATGAACTTTCCTCTTAGCACTGCTTTCATAGTGTCCCATAGGTTTGAGTATGTTGTGTCTTTATTTTCATTAAATTCAAGGAAGACTTTAATTTCTTTCCTTATTTCTTGCTTGACCCAGGGGTGATTTCGTAGTTGACTGTTCAACTTCCATGAGTTTGTTGGCTTCCTGGGGGTAGCATTGTTATTGAATTCTAACTTTAATCCATGGTGATCTGATAAGACACAGGTGGTTCCTGGTATTTGTTTGTATCTGTGGAAGTTTGCTTTGTTACCGAGTATGTGGTCAATTTTCGAGAAGGTTCCATGAGCTGCAGAGAAAAAGGTATATTCTTTCCTATTTGGGTGGAATGTTCTATAGATGCCTGTTAAGTCCATTTTATTCAATACCTCCAATAATTCTCTTATTTCTCTGTTAGGTTTCTCTCTGATTGATCTGTCCATTGGTGAGAGAGGTGTGTTGAAGTCTCCTACTATTAGTGTGTGTAGTTTGATGACTGCCTTGAGTTCTAGAAGTGTTTCTTTTACATAAGTGGGTGGCTTTATATTAAGGGCATAGATATTCAGGATTGAGACTTCTTCCTGATGAATTGTTCCTGTTATGAGTATGAAATGTCCATCTCCATCTCTTCTGATTGATTTTAGAATAAAGTCTATTTTGTTAGATATTAGAATGGCCACACCCGCTTGTTTCTTAGGTCCATTTGCTTGGAAAACCTTTTCCCAACCCTTTACTCTGAGTAGGTGTCTGTCTTTGTGGTTGAGGTGTGTTTCATGTAAACAGCAAAATGTTGGATCCTATTTTCGTATCCAATCTCTAAGTCTGTGCCTTTTTATAGGTGAATTGAGTTCATTAATATTAAGTGATATTAATGACCAGTGGTTGTTGACTCCGGTTATTTTTTTGGGGGGTAGTAAAGTGTATGTGTTTCCCTTCTTTGAGTTGTGCCTGTGAAGGGTCGCTAGATGTCTGAGTTATTGTAGGCAGTATTGGGAATGCTGGATTCCTTGGGTTGTGATTTTCCTTCTAATACTTTCTATAAGGCTGGATTTGTAGCTACGAATTGTTTAAATTTGTTTTTATCCTGGAATATTTTGTTTTCTCCGTTGATAGTGAATGATAGCGTGGCTCGGTTTAGTAGTCTGGGCTTGCATCCCTGGTCTCTTAGTTTCTGCAGTACCTCTATCCAGGACCTTCTGGCTTTCACGGTTTCCATAGAGAAGACCGGTGTAAGTCTGATAGGTTTACCTTTATAAGTTACTTGACCTTTTTCCTTTGCAGCTCTTAATATTCTTTCTTTAATCTGAATGCTTTGTGTTTTGATTATTATATGGCGAGGGGATTTTTTTTTTGATCCAGTCTTTTCAGTGTTCTGTATGCTTCTTGAACCTTCATAGGAATATCGTTCTTTAGGTTGGGAAAGTTTTCTTCTATAATTTTGTTGAATATATTTTCTGGACCTTTGATCTGCAATTCTTTTCCTTCTTCTACTCCTATTATTCTTAGATTTGGTTTTTTTATTATGTTCCAGATTTCCTGAATGTTTTGTGATGAGAATTTGTTAGATTTGCTGTTTTCTTTGGTCAGAGCGTTTATTTTCTCTATGGTGTCTTCATAATCTGAGATTCGTTCTTCTATCTCTTGTATTCTATTGGTTATGCTTATTTCTGAAGTCTCTATTTGTTCACCTAGATTTTTCCATATCCAACCGGCCCTCGATTTGTGCTTTCTTCATTGCCTTCATTTCAGTTTTTAATTCTTGAACTGTTTCCATTACCTGTTTGATTGTTTTTTTCTTGGTTTCCCAGGGTGTCATTCATGGATTTACTCATTTCTTCAAACTTTTTGTTATACTTATCTTCCAATTCTTTATTCATTTCTTCAATCGTTTTGTTATATTTCTCTTCCATTTCTTTAAGTGAGTTATTCATACCCTGTTTAAGGGACTTTATTGCTTTCATAATGACAGTGTTTTCCACATCTTCCGGAATAGGGTGTTCAAGTCCTTCTGTAGTAAGATCGCTGGGATCTGGTGTTTTCATGTTGTTTTTCAGATTGTTGGAGGAATTCTTGCCTTGGCGCCTGCCCATCTCTTCCTTCAGATGCTCTCCAATGGCTCTTCCCTCCGCTGGGTCTTCTGCTACAGGATCAGTGCCCCTTGCTGGCCAGGAATCTCCCTGCCTGCAGTCCTACCTTGCTGCACACAGGCTATTAAAACAAAGGAACTCCCTCCTGCCCGGTTGCACTCACCTCCCAGTCCCGGCAGTGCCCACACAGGCTGGGTTGGAGGCTTTTATGCCCTGAAAAAGGGAGGGAGGAAGGGAAGGGATTCCTGGCTGAATGCGGGGATGGGGTAGGAGGAGAGAGGGCTTGGCTGGGGGAAACTGCCCCTTCGGAATACCCAGGGAGATAAGGGTGGCGGGAAAATTGTGTGTTCCCTAACCGGGCTTATGTGGCAGGTCAGGAGCACACTTACCCCTCCATTGTATCTTCTGCTACAGGATCAGTGCCCTGCTGGCCAGAAATCTCCCTGCCTGTAGTCTTACCTTGCTGCAGGCAGGCTATTAAAACAAAGGAACTCCCTCCTGCCCGGTTGCACTCACTGCCCCATCCGGCGTTACCCACACAGGCTGGGTTGGAGGCTTTTAAGCCCTGAAAAAGGGAGGGAGGAAGGGAATGGGTTCCTGGCTGAAAGCGGGGATGGGGTGGGAGGAGAGAGGGCTTGGCTGGGGGAAGCCGCCCCTTCGGAATACCCAGGGAGATAAGGGTAGCGGGAAAATTGTGTGTTCCCTTACCGGGCTTATGTGGCCGGTCAGGGTCAGGAGCACACTTACCCCTCCATTGTATCTTTTGCTACAGGATCAGTGCCTTGCTTGCCAGAAATCTCCCTGCCTGCCTACTGATTTTTTTTTTAAAAAAGATTTATTTCATGTGTATGAGTTTTTCTTTATATTTGTATATGTGTACCTTGTGCATGCCTGGTGTCTATTGAGCCCTGAAGAGGGTGTCAGATCCCCTCGAACTAGAGTCACAGGTCACCATATAGGTGTTGGAAATTGAATTGAAGTTCTTTGCTGACAAAAGAGTACTTGCTGAGCGATCTGTCCAGCCTCAAAACTACTGATTTTTGAATGTTGACTTTGTGTTCAGTTATGCTTTTGGTAGAATCTTTAGACTTTCTTGTGTACAGGACAGTGTTGTCTAAAAGTGGGGATTTGGCTTCTTTTTCTATTTGAATTCTTTTATAATTCTTTTTCTATTTGAATTCTTTCTCTTGTCTAACTAAGAGTTGAAGAACTATATTGAATGTGGGTAAAGAAAGTGAAAAGTACATCCCATTGTCTCACGCTTAATTTAGGTGGAAATGCTCCTAGTTTTATCATTTAGTATAAAATTGGCTATAGATTTGTTTTATATCGCCTTTACTGTGTTCCCTCTGTTTCCACGTGATGATTAATCTTAGTGGTCAACTCCATGAGATATAGAATAAGCAGACATTTTGATGTAATATATAATTTGTAGCTATTTTTTCATCAGAAGGCATAGAAACTTCTATTAAGTGAGTTACAAAGACAAATGTATTTTGGCTTCCAGCTATTGTCACAAGAATATGGAAAAGAAGTGGACATCTTTGCTTTAGGCCTTATTCTAGCAGAACTTCTGCACATATGCATCACTGAACAAGAAAGAATACAGGTAAATATCCTAAAGGAGAACTAAGCAGATTAAAGCACTGGTTGTCACCCTTCAGGCATTAACGTTATGGTGGGGGGGCACTTGGTGAGGGTGTGTTTGACCTCATGACTTCTACTTGTAAGTGAAACAAGTGTGGCCAACCATTTTTGCTATAAATAAAAAATTAGCTTTCTATAAAATGTGTGTATATCCCATAAAATTTGTATTTGTGTGTGCCAGCAAAATTTGACAGTTCTGCTTTAAGTGTTACATGAATATAAAAATCAGTCAGTTTCTCAAGGGATTAATTTTCTAAGAAGAAAGGTAACAGCCAAAAATGATTAAGTGTTTTAGAAGACAGAACGTCTCCAGAAGGAGCTAAAAGATCTCTCCAGAAATCTGGATTCAGGTTCCATAGAAACATGTAACTTGGGTACTGAATGATCAAATTTTCAAATTATCTATTTAAGGGTATTTGTGCACACACACGTATACACACACAGACACACACACGCACACACAAATATGTGCATGTGTCCACATGCTATGGCATGTCTATGGAGGTCAGAAGACAACCTGGATTAGTTCATTCTAATAGTCTGAAATAGAAAGCATGTAACCCCAGCATGGAGGTACAAATGTGCAGTGTGTGTTGGGAATAGCAGGCAAGGTGGTTTTATCTGAAGCCAATGATTGATGGGGCCGGGAAGACAGGTTTGGCTACACTGAGGAAAGCGTTTGGGCTTTTGGTGTCGGTGGGTAGGTGGTGGGGCAGCATTGGAGACCGCAGACTCCAGATACCCTAGTTGCAAGCTCAGAGAGGGATTTGCCTGGAGTCAAAACAACCTTATCTTCCCTAAAGTAGGGACGATGAAACGATGCACTGCCTAGCATCCAGAACAGAAGGGAAATGGTGGGCCTCCTGCACTTAGCCCTTCAGAGCATGGATGTTAAGGATGGTTATCAGATCGGGGTAGGCTCAGGGAGGGGAGTTCTGCTTGCTTCTTGACTAAAGAGTCCTAAATTTAAGAACTATTCTAGATTTATCTCTAGTCATTAGTGTATTTAGTTTTTCTTCCCATATAAATTGTTTCTTAGTAAATACATCTATTTGTTGTATTTCAGTTTTTCCAAAAGCTAAGAGACGGCATCTTCCCTGATGATACATTTGACAACAAAGAAGTAAGCATTTGAAAGTCATTGGTTTTATTTTCTCCACTGTCTTCTTTCTTAGTACTGACTCTTATTTATAATTGCAGAAAAACCTTCTAAGGAGATTGCTCTTGAAGGAACCCAAGGAACGACCTAGTACATCTGATATTCTGATGATCTTGGCTGAATGGAAGAACATCTCAGAGCAAAAGAAAAGACAATGTAACCAAATGTAACCCTGAATCCTCCTGATTTTAAGCAACTGTACAAAGACAGTCTTGAGGTTGTACGATTGATCAAGACTAATGTGATAATTGTATTTCTTTGTTTGTCTGAGTAACAGGGACATGTGGCTTTGTTAATATTACAAAGAACTTGTCTGTTACAATTAACCTTTAAATATTTAGAGCTAAAACACTGTAATGCCTGAAATTCACTGTAGATTTATCCAGCCAAAGAAACAAAAAACAGAAGGGATAGGTGTAACAATAAAGGTAAAATATTCTTTGCTAAAACCACTTAATGTTACACACAATCTCCTCATTCTGGTCTATGTTAGAGTTAAAAAGTTATGAGAATTAATACTGAATGAAAATAGTTTCTTTTATATTAAATATTAATGTGCCAAAGAGCCCCATGCTTTGGTGAACACTCAAGTGGAGAATGGATGATGTAAGTCTTTCTAGTGAGTCTGCAGATGATGATGTGAAGAAGCTGACATTCAGGATACTCATGTCACATGTAGATATGTTATGCAGGTTTCCTTTACGGGCATGCAGCCTGTATGGTTGTACTAGAACATTCTCAAGCATGTCCCACACTTTGCCATTTAAAAAGCACCTTACATTTTATTTCAAATTGGGTCCCACAAATTATGCAACTAGCCATACATATACATCTATATGTGTGTATGTACATATTGTGAATATATTTGATATAATTTTATGTTAAGTTCACATGTTGTTATATATGTGTGTGTGTTTGTTTTGTAGGTATATTTAGTAGAAATGGTATGTTTGGTCTGTTTAGTAGAAATGGTATGTTTATTTGGTGGTAAAAATTCTAGTGAAGCAACTAGATAAAATTTTTTTTTAAAAGCTGGACTTGGAATTAGCAAGTGAGGTTCTACTTTGCTCCCACTGTTGATGTAGTTAAGAAGATACTTCTTATTTCCAGGTTTTTGGAGACTGAGGAGATATATCTTCAGAAGTAAATAAAAGATGCTAAGAGATAATATTCTTATTACAACATGTGAAAATATGATTAATGTCTGCTTCCAATTTCCAGGAGGATCTATTTATGTTTTTCTTTGGGCTCACCTTATTACTTAACTTCTCTAGGATCATGAACTATAGGCTCAATGTTCTTTGTTTATGGCTAGAATATACTAATGAGTGAGTACACATCATATTCATATTTTGGGGTCTGGGTTATCTCACTCAGGATAGTATTTTCTATTTCCATCCATTTGCAAGCAAAATTCAAGATGTCATTGTTTTTTACTGCTGAGTAGTATATAATGTGTAGATATGCCACACTTTCTTTATCCATTCTTCCATTGAGGGGCATCTAGGTTGTTTCCAGGTTCTGGCTATTAGAAATAATGCTGCTATGAACATGGTTGAGCAAATGCTTTTGTAGCATGATTGGGCATCTCTTGGGTATATTCCCAAGAGTGGTATTGCTGGATCCTGAGGTAGGTTGACTCCCAATTTTCTGAGAAACTGCCACACTGATTTCCAAAGTGGTTGCACAAGTTTGCATTCCCACCAGCAATGGATGAGTGTTCCCCTTAATCCATATCCTCTCTAGCACAGGCTATCATTGGTGTTTTAGATTTTAGCCATTCTGACAGGTGTAAGATGGTATCTCAAAGTTGTTTTGATTTGCATTTCCCTGATAGTTAAGAAAGTTGAACATGTCCTTAAGTATCTTTTGGCCATTTGAATTTCTTCTGTTGAGAATTCTCTGTTCAGTTCAGTACCACATTTTTTAATTGGGTTATTTAGAATTTTAATGTCTACTTTCTTGAGTTCTTTATAAAGTTTGGAGTTCAGACCTTTGTCTGATGTAGGGTTGGTGGAGATCATCTTCCATTCAGTAGGTTACCTTTTTGTCTTAATGACTGTGTCCTTAGCTTTACAGAAGCTTCTCAGTTTCAGGAGGCCCCATTTATTCATTGTTGTTCTTATTGTCTGTGCTACTGGGGTTATACATAGGAAGTCGTCTCCTGTGCCCATGTATTGCAGGCTACTTCCCACTTTCTCTTCTATCAGGTTCAGTGTGGTTGGATTTATATTGAGGTCTTTAATCCATTTGGACTTGAGTTTTGTGCATGGTGATAGATATGGATCTATTTTCATTCTTCTACAGGCTGACATCCGGTTATGCCAGCACCATTTGTTGAAGATGTTTTCTTTCTTCCATTGTATAATTTTAGCTCTTTTGTCAAAAATCAGGTGTTCATAGGTGTGAGGATTAACATCCAGTTCTTCAATTCGATTCCCTTGGTCAAAGTCTCTGTTTTTATGCCAATACCAAGCTGTTTTCATTATTGTAGCTCTATAATAGAGTTTGATGTCAGGGATGGTTAATGCCTCTGGAAGTTCCTTTATTGTACGGGACTGTTTTGGCTGTCCTGAGTTTTTTGTTTTTCCATATAAAGTTGATTATTATTCTCTCAAGGTCTATGAAGAATTTTGTTGGGATTTTGATGGGGATTGGATTGAATCTGTAGATTGCCCTTGGTAGGATTGCCATTTTTACTATGTTGATCCTACCTATCCTAGAGCATGGGAGATATTTCCATTTTCTGGTATCCTCTTCGATTTCTTTCTTCAAAGACTTAAAGTTCTTGTCAAAGGATCTCTCACTTCCTTCATTAGTGTTACCCCAAGATACTATATGCTATTTGTGGCTATTGTAAAAGGTGAAGTTTCTCTGATTTCCCTCTCTGCTTCTCTATCCTTTGTGTATAGGAGGGCTACTGATTTTTTTTTTTAGTTGATCTTGTATCCTTCCACACCACTGAAGGTATTTATCAGCTGTAGGAGTACTCTGGTAGAGTTTTTGGGGTCACTTATGCACACTATCATATCATCTGCAAATAATGAAATTTGAAGCAGACAAGAGTGCCAGACTAAGTTGGGAGCATGGGGGGTGGGGACGTGGTGGGAGAAAGGAGAGAGCAGGAGAGAGATGGGAGAAGGGGAGGGTTGGGGAGAGCTTAGGGGAGTTGGATGGTTGAGATGGAGAAAGGACGGATATGGGAGCAGGGAAAGAGATATTTTAATTGAGGGAGCCATTTTGGGGTTGGCAAGAGGCTTGGCTCTGAAGGGGTTCCCAGAAGTCCACGGGGATGACCCCAGTAGGACCCTGGTCGGTGGAGGAGAGGATGCCTGAATTGGCCTTGTCCTGTAGTCAGACTGATGACTATCTCGAATATCACCATAGAACCTTCTTCAGGCGATGGATGGAGATAGAGACAGAGATCCCCATCGGAGCACTGGACTGAACTCCCAAGGTCCTGTTGAAGAACAGAATGAGGTAGAATATGAGCAAGGAAGTCAGGATACGAGGGTTTCACCCACTGAAACACTGTGCCTGAGCTAATGGGAGTTCACCAAATCCAGCTAGAATGGGACTAAATGAGCATGGGATCAAACTGGACCCTCTGAATGTGGCTGACAATTGGAGCAGACTTTGAAGCCAATGACAATGACTCTGGGATTTGTCTCTACTGCATTTACTGGCTTTTTGGGATCCTATTCTATGTGGATGCACACCTTCCTAAGCCTGGATGGGGAAGGAAGGCCTTGGACTTCCTACAGGGCAGGGTACCCTGCCCTCTCTTAGGACTGGATGGGGAGGGGGGATGGTGAGTTGGCTAGCAGGAGGGAAGTGGGAGGAGAGGAGGAAGTACTAATTTTGATTGGTATTATTTGTAAAGTAATAAAAAAAGAACTAATAAAAGAAAATATCATTAACGGAAGGGTAAAATGCTATACTCTCACTGGCCACATTATTTGGTATTATCTTAAATATCTTAAATATATCTTCATTCATTAATGCTGATAATGTTAGTTTGTTTTAAAGAGATTTCATTCCACTTAGAAAAATATTGAAAAATATATCTCTGCCTATATTTGCCAAGGGTTAACATCATGGGTCCTTTCTTTTTCTCCTTTCTCTGTAACTCCAGCTTCAGGGGGTCCAGTGCCTTCATTTGGCATTTACTGTTACTGCACTCACAAAGACATGGATAGACAGAAATAAACATTTATTAAAAAAATACTTCCACCTGAGAGGCAGAGGCAGGCAGATCTCTATGAGTTCAAAGCCAGCCTGGTCTGCAAAGTGAGCACCAGGGCTACACAGAGAAACCCTGTCTCAAAAAAAGGGGGGGGGAGGGAGCTGGAGAGATGGTTCAGAGGTTAAGAGCAAGTGCTCTTCCAGAGGTCCTGAGTTCAATTCCCAGCAACTACATGGTGGCTCATAACCATATATAATGAGATCTCATACCCTCTTCTGGCATGTAGGCATATATGCAGGTAGAACAATGTGTACATAATGAATGAATAAATAAATATTAAACAAAAGATTTTAAAAAACAAAAAACAAACAAAGAAATAGTTCCTCCAATTTCTGTGTGTATGTGTGTGTTAAATTGTTTTTTCAAAGAAAACAAATATAGAATAACCACATTCAGGATTTGCCTAATAATTTCCTCATGATTGTAACTGGGTTATGAATTTGGAACAAAACTAATTCTGATATGACATTGGGAGCCGCACATCATGAGGTGATGATAGACTGGATCACATTGTTGTGGTTATTGTGGTCTCTGCTGGAGAGGTGCGTGGCCACCTGTTTAAACTTCTGCAGATTTTTTCTTTGCAGCCTTTCTCACTCTAGTTCAGCATCCAGTGATGAACCTTGCCTTGCTGCACTTGGAGGCGGCAAACAAACCCCATGCTTTTATGACTACTTAAAGAAAAGGCTACACACCTCCTAGAAGTGCTTCTCTTATTGCTGCTCATCGCTGGCAGCCCACATTTGGATCGCTGTAAAAACTGTAAAATGACGTGAGTTTTGTAATGGTGATGAGCTGCTCGGAAGTGTAGACAGACCCTCAAGGTCTCCAGGGGTGCAGTCCATGTTACCTTCCAGCATTTCCTGCCGCCATTGGGGCCAACGTCTTCTCTGCCCAGTGTTCCCTGTGTGCATTCTTTGCAGTTTGCTCTGCCCCTCACTCACCCAGCCCAGCTGTTCTCTCTACTCTTCCAAATCTTTCATGTGCTTGGAAGTCTCTTCAGTGTAATTTCCAAGTCCTCTGTTCTATAGGAAGTGATCTTGCTGTCTAGTGAACAGCTTCCTGTTCCTAGCCCTGCCAACAGCACAGCCATCTTTCTTCAAGGCTTTGTTATAATAGATACAGAAGGTACTTAAGATAAAAAGACTAATTGTACACAGACAATTATCACATGTTCTCACTCATAGGTAGTTTTTATTTTTTTCCTTATTTATTTATTTATTTAAAGAATTTCCACTTCCTCCCCTCCTCCCAATACCCTCCCCCTCCTCCCAATATCCTCCCGCTCCCCCCACTCCCTCTCCTCCTCCCTCACCATTCCCAAGAGCAGTCAGGGTTTCCTGCCCTGTAAGAAATCCAAGTTTCTCCCACCTCCCTCCAGGTCCAGGAAGGTGAGCATCCAAACAGACCAGGATCCCAAAAAGCCAGTACATGCAGACGAAACAAGACCCAGTGCCATTGTCAATGGCTTCTCAGTCAGCCCCCGTGTCAGCCACATTCAGAGAATCTGGTTGGATCACGTGCTTGTTCAGTCCCAGTCCAGCTGGCCTTGGTGAACTCTCATTAGATCAGTCCCCTTGTATCAGTGGGTGAACGCACCCTTTGCGGTCCTGACTTCCTTTTTCATGTTCTCCTTCCTTCTGCTCCTTATTTGGACCTTGGGGGCTCAATCCAGTGCTCCAATGTGGGTCTCCGTCTCTATCTCCATCCATCGTTCGATGAAGGTTCCCTCTGGTTCTGCTTTCCTTGCTCACGATCTCCCTTCCTCTGCTTCTCATTTGGACCTAGGGAGTTAAGTCCAGTGTTCCAATATGTGTCTCTGTCTCTATCTCCATCCTTCGCCATATGAAGGTTCTGTGGTGATATGCAAAATATTCATCAGTATGGTTATGGGCCAAGGCCATTTCAGGCACCCTCTCCTCTGCTGCCCAGGGAACAATCTGGGGACCTCTCCTTGGGTCTGGGAACCCCTCCAGAATCAAGTCTCTTGCAAACCCTAAAATGGCTCCCTTAGTTGAGATATAAACTTCCCTGCTCCCATAACCATCCTTCCTCCCTCCCCCCTCCCATTCCCCCAAGCCATCCCCAATCCTCCCCCTCTACCCTCTCCCTAATCATCTCCCCTTACTTTCATCCCCCCACCCCCATGCACCCAAGTTTTCCTGGCAATCTTGTCTACTTCTAATATCCAGGTGGATACTATATGATTTTCTTCAGGTTCACCTTCTTAAATAGCTTCTCTAGGATCACGAATTATAGGCTCAAAGACCTTTAACTATGGCTAGAATCCACTTATGAGTGAGTACATACCATATTCCTCTTTTTAGGTCTGGGTTACCTCACTCAGTAAAGCGTTTTCTATTTCCATCCATTTGCATGCAAAATTCAAGATGTCATTGTTTTTTACCGCTGAGTAAAACTCTAATGTGTATATGTTCCACACCTTTTTTAACCATTCTTCTATTGAGGGGCACCTCGGTTGTTTCCATGTTCTGGCTATTACAAATAGTGCAGCTATGAACATAGTTGAACAAATACTTTTGTAGTATGATAGGGCATCTCTTGGGTATATTCCCAAGAGTGGAATTGCTGGGTCCTGAGGGAGGTTGACTCCCAGTTTCCTGAGAAACTGCCACACTGATTTCCACAGTGGCTGCACAAGTTTGCATTCCCTCATAGGTGGTTTTTAAACATAAAGCAAAGAAAACCAGCCTACAAACCACAATCTCAGAGAACTTAGACAACAATGAGGACACTAAGAGAGACTCACATAGACATGGGAAGTAGAAATTAGAAGAAGACAAGATCTCCTGAGTAAACTGGGAGCATGGGGACCTTGGGGGAGGATTGAAGTGGGGAGAGCAGAGGCAGAGAGGGGAGCAGAGAAATATGTAGAGCTCAATAAAAATCAATAAAAAAAAGTTTTAAAAAATGATTATTAGAGATTCTTCCTTTCTGATCACATAATCCCCTCCTCTCTTCTCAGCCAACCACTTGGAAATCTAGTGTGGCTTCCCCCTTTATCTACTTTTTCCATGTCACCATATTTGTTTAGTGCCTTAAAATTTTTTTAAAAATGATTTCACGTATATGTTCTAGAATGTTATGTGAATGTTTTCTTCTGTACACATTTTTAAACTTTTGTTTACTTACAATTATACTGTTAATATACTGTTACTACATTTCACCTCAGTTCATTTGTTCTCCAATATGCAAAAATAAATTAAATCCATTCTCTTTTTGAAGGCATTATGGGTACTTCTTGTTGCCGTGGCTTCTATAAACACTATGTTAGCTACTTTTATTACCATTAAAAATCCAACAGTTGCAACTTGAAGCAGAGGAGATTTATTTTGACTCAACTTCAGATCATACCATTCTTCATTGCAGGAAATATTTGGCAGAAGCCTGAGTTCCTGGTGTTGATGGTGGGGGGTGTTCAAGTCCCTGTTGGCTCATGGCCATCTCATAATCCAAAATTCTTCCAGGCCTACCTCAGGAGTTCCCAGAGTCTTAATAGTCAACACCACTCAAAAGTCCAAAATGCTTTGAGAAGCAAAGGAGAACTTTCAGCTCTGAGTCTTTATAAAACAATTATTACAGCGTACAAACAAGCAAAGGAAAATCCCCATTATAAAAAGTAAGTCTGGGAGAACAGCAAGGAAAGACTGGTCCAATGAAAGACTAAATCCACGCAGGGCCAACAAAGGCTGCATCTCAGTGTTCAGCATCTGGAATACACACCGTGGCATACTTGTGTATACATGTGTATAGCACACTGGCTCCCGAAATTCACAAATTGCTTGTTATAGATGAGCTGCTGGAGAGGGCACTGGATGAAGATGTGGTTGGACCAGAGGATGCTCTGTCAGCTCTCTCAAGAGAAGGGGCAGCCCTTAGCAGACTTATAGCAGCTAACCTCCTTCTCTACGGTGGCTCATCCCTGGACACATGCTACCGCCCATATTCTCTTCATACCACCCAGTCCACAATCACAAACAATGGCAAATCATAGAATGGAGGAATCATTTGTTATGCAATTGGCAAATGCCTGCATTATGCAAACAATTTAATCTGAAGCCAATTTCAGAGGCAATCGTAAGTGTACAAATTACAATAACCGACAGCACATACCATTGAGCTCTTCTCTGAAAGCTTCTGATATGCCTCTTTAGCTGCCAGTTGCTTTGCCTCCTGTTTGGTAGCTCCTGAACCAAAACCTTACGCTGTCGACCCAATTTTATATTTAGAATTAAATGAGAAAAAATGTAAGTACTAATTCACATATCAAAAATGTTGTCAATCAATGTACAATTTGGGGGAAAAAGAACCCTACAGACAAATAAAGGCCTTGAGATGAGACAAATAATTTTTTAACTGTATTTATGTTTCCTACCTCACATAATTTAAACTCCACAGAAAGGGTCACCAATCCATCTGAATAGTCAGAAACACTCGATATCCTGGCTTACAGTTCCCAGGTAAAATCTAACTTTCTTGTTTCACTGAAAGACTGACAGCAAAACACCACGTGGTGATTTTAAAAGCAAGCAAGCAAAGAAAAACTTTTCAATCCCAAGTGAAAAGATTTAGGGGGGGACCAAAAAAGGTGGGGATCCAGCAAATTTTCTAGGGCTGTTCAAATAGGAGAGAAAACCAGCTGGCAGAGTGGGGCTCAAGGGGATAAGCCACGAGGATGGGAAGCAGTACTAGGGGAAGTCAGCCCACTGGGGTGTTCTCAGAGCCTCCAGACTCTGATCCTTGTTCACACATTATATATGAAGTTTAACTCACAGTAAAAGATTAACAACAGCTCATAATGATCTAGAACAATCAGTGCGACCTACTCTGCTCTCAGGTTGGCGGAAGTGGCCTTCCTGTCACTCAGGCAGCTTCCGGTACTACACTCACTGTCTTGTGGACCAAAGAAAATGGAAATGTCAAAAGCAGAGCCAAGGAAAGAAGAGGCTACTGAAAAACAAATCAGCCAAACTTGATTCCAATGGACCCTCAAACCTTAGGTACTGGGCGTTTGATGTTTATAACTCATTAAAAACCTTTCATACTAAGTGCACCATCTGCGCAAGATTCTAAGGTCCTGGCAATAGCCTAGGGAGTGTCTTTAGATTCTGGGAGGCAAGCCTAAACATGCAACAGGAAATCTCAATTGGCTAGAAGACAAGGGTATCTGTGAATTAACATCCATTTAACATACTTGTAGTGAGCACGTGTCAGGTATTAGGTGCTAGGATTATGGAAGCAAATAAAAACTGCTCTTGGGACCTTACTGGTATAGAAGGATACAGACAAATCGCGGCACTAAGTATTAATTGGAAAATGGAGCAAAATACGGTAATGGTGGGGACAGGGAGGGCAGAGTAGAAGCTCTTGTTCAGGGAAGGCTGCTCATACAGTTGGTTCTGTGAGAAGGACTGGATCTCATTACAGACAGTTGTGAGCCACCATGTGGTTGCTGGGAATTGAACTCAGGACTGCAGGAAGATCAGCCAGTGATCTTTACCTCTGAGCCATCTCTCCAGACCCATGACAGAGTCTTTTTAATTACTTGGAAATATAATTAAAAGTTATATTTAACATCTAATTAAAAGTTAGATGCTATGCCTTGGGTCTGACAAAATGTCCCAGCAGAATTTCATATTAGAGAGCTCAAATCACAAACCACAGTACAGGAAAACTGTAGAGTCAGGCCTGAGGATGAACCTACCACTGGGCAGTGTGTGTCACAAACTAATCGATGAACAATCCAAGTCCTGTGCCAGCCATCGCGACTCTGGGAATGTGTCACAGTCTCACAGGAGAGAAGGATTTCTAATCAACCCTGGACTGCTGATGTTGCCTTGTGATAAAATATTCCTCGAGGCCTTTCTGGAAGCAGGTGGTTCTAAACTGCTGGCCTGGTGGATAATGGTATGCAACACGGGGCTGGCAGGCAAGGAATAGAAAGATGAGAAAAGGCTGAAAAAAGAGTCCTTCAATCCCCTGGCCAATCTGGTCGATATGGCCATGTCCTCCTTGAGTCGGCTGCAGCGGGAAAAGGGAAGGGGAAGACCAATGTTTACAATTCTAGACTTGAACTGTCTCTACTCTGTCACCCACACAGCCTGGCAGGATCTCTCTGTGAGCTACTCAGTATCTCCCACTGGATCTTGGAATTCGGAAGCATCCGTGTACCCAGCTGCATCCACTCTGTTTATTTTGAAAATTAGATGTGGTCATTGATCCCGGAACCTATTAAAACACCGCAAGCAAGAGACTTGAGTTTCTCCTTCCTCTTCCAACAGAGTTTTACCAACATAGGAGTCACGAAATGTTCAGAAACCTGGGAAAGCGCCTAAGGAGAGCCGCCACTGTGGCTGAACTGGAGAGCAGAGGTTATTCAGACTTCAGCTCCCGCTCGCGGGGACAGAGGAGCCACGCCTTCCTGTCCTCTCGCGGGTTTAACCCGGTGCGGGAGGGGCTGTATGCGGGAAGGCGGAGTCCGCCGGGAAAACGAAACAAGACTAAATGGGCCTGGCCTAGTCTTCCACCGACCCCAGCAGCGAGGGTGAGCAGCAGCCTGGGCGCGACCTCAGAGCCCCCATATTGCAATTCGAATTCTAAGCCAGGACGCCGGCCACCCTCCAGATCCAGGAACGCGGTAGGACCTCAGGGCTTATTTTCTCACTTCTCCTGGACAGCAGTAGTGGGGCAGGGACCTATAAGGAAAGTAACAAACCCGATGACCTGAAACTCTGGAGGGAAATCTAGAAGCCCGAATGTCTCGGAAACTGGCTAAATAGCAGGCAAAGACTTTGGCTGCACAGCTGTGATGGTATTCTAGTTGGCATGTCTCTGTGTCAGCCGGGGTCTCGCTCCATCCTCCACCTTGTTCTTCTCAATGTAGCTGCGTTTTCTTCAACTCTGAACCGGATGCTTGCTCTCCTTCTCCGACTTCTGCTACACCAACCCCTACAGTCAGGCAAAGTCCCCCATTACCCACCACTTTCAGACTTCCTTGGTGCTTCTGGACCAAGGCCAAGTACCCTTCAGCTCCTGGCCTTTATGGTGCCTCTTCCGACTTCCTGGAAAGCCCTTCCCCCACCCCAACCCCAAGGAATAGCATGGTTAGATCCCTCTCAGTATCCAGTCCTTCTCACAGAACCAACTGTATGAACAGCCTTCCCTGAACAAGAACTTCTTTTCTGCCCTCCCTGTCCCCCGATTCCCGTATTTTTCTCAATTTTCTAAGTAATACTTAGTACCACAGTTTGTCTGTATCCTTCTATACCAGTAAGGTCCCAAGAGCAGTTTTTATTGCTAATACCTGACAAGTGCTCACTACATGTATGTTAAATGGATGTTAATTCACAGATACCCTTGTCTTTTAGACAAATGAGATTTCCTGTTGCGTGTTTAGTACTAAAAGTGCCTTGCCTCCCAGAAACTAAAGACACTCCCTAGGCTATTGCCCAGGACCATAGAATCTTGTGCAGATGGTGCTCTTTCTTCAGCTTGCCCTGTGAACCTGACAGGGCCGGACCACTTTTTGCAGCTTCCTCATTTATATATCAGATATGTCATGAATGCATGCTGTATGGGAAGTAGGTCCTGGAAGCACATCAGGCTTTTTGGGAGTTTGAGATAAGTAAGACTTTGCGCAAAGACCAGTGTGTTTGCGACTTAGGTGAGAGAGGCAGGTGGCATTTGTTGGTGCATGCGATGGACAGCTCTTTGGGTGAGTGAATAGGAGCTGTCACTGCTCCTGGTGAGCTCACGGATTGGGTTATAGAGCAGCCGGCTGTGATGAGGGTTGTGAGCGGGAAGATGCTAACTGCCCCTGCAGCATCAGAGAAGACCAGGCCCATCCTGATAGGTGAATAAAAATTGCCCAATAGACAGAGGACTCCAATTCATGGATTGGGAGGCACCTCCGTGCCCTTTCATGGATGGACTCTTCATTCATTTCTGTCAAGCCTTTATTATAAATTTGGTGCCTCCTTTCCTTTTTCAGTTAAAACGGTTACATTTATGTTTAAAAAGAATTTATTTACTTTTTATTTTGTAATTATTCATGTATATGAGTATGTGTGTGGACATGGGAAGGCAGTTTCCCTTGGAGCCCAGAAAGGTATCAGTTCCCCTGAAGCTACAATTACAAGGAGGTTGTGAGCTGCCTGCCCCAGGTGATGAGAACCAAATTTGGATTCTCCAAGAGAGCCGCAGTGTCCCTAACTGCTGGGTTATATCTCTAACTATAGATTTATTTTATTTTATTTTGTGTGCATGTGTGTGTTTGTCCATGTGCTTCAGTGAGCCTGTCTGGTCAGAGGAGGACTTGTGGAAGTCGGGACTCCTCAACCATGTAGGTCCCAGGGACTGAACTCAGATGGTCAGTCTTGGCAGCAAACGCCTTTACCTGCTGAGCCATCTTGCCAACCCTGGTGAAAACCATAACTGTGTAGGTAGAATGTAAAGCCACAGTCTGGAGGTGGTCACAGGAAGGAGTTAAGTAGGGAATAGAATACTTGAGGACTAGGCCCCTGGACAATATTTAGATGAAAAAGAAGGTGAAGAAGGGCTGAGAGAGAAGGCAGAGAAAGTGCGGCTTCTGAGAGAGACACCAGAGATCAGGTGTCTCACAACCTAAGCTAAGAAGGGGGAAGGAGGGAGATGAGAATGAATGAATAACTGACATTGACTATTGAATTTGGCAAAGAGTGAGCCACTGGGAACGTCACAAGGGCAGGCTTGGTGGCTGGTAGAGGCTCCAGGATCTGAAAGATGCTTTAAACCAGTGGTTCTCAACCTTCCTAATGCTGCAACCCTTTAATACAGTTCCTTATGTTGTGTTGACCCCGGCCACAAAATTCTTTCATTCTTACTTCGTAACTGTAATTTTGCTGCTGTTATGAATCACAATGTAAATATCTGATACGCAGCCCCCTGTGAAAGGATCGTTCAACCCCCCAATAGGTCACGACCCACAGATTGAGAACTGCTGCTTTAAAAGCTCACAGTGTGAAGATTCTCGTTGAAAATTTAAAACTTTATATGGAGTTAGGGACCAAACTTGAGGCTTTGTGTATGCTAGACAAGTCCTCTGCCAAATGAACAGTGTCTCCAACTGACAAAATATTAAAATTTCCAGTTCACTTTTAAATAAATGAGAGAAACATAAAAATTTCCAGATTTACTGGGCATTAAGTGATATTTTGATAATATGTATACAGCGTATAATATGTAAATCAGGTTAAATGTATCTATACCAAGAAACAGTTTTTCCTTTCTTTCTCCTGGGTAATGGCACTGAGTATCATTTTGCTGTTTTGGTGGCCATTGCTGTGTCTCCTTTGAAAAAATAGCACTCAAGTCCTATGCCTATTTTCTAAATTGTGTGTGTGTGCAAATGAACATATGTTACATAGTCATGTGTTTATGTGTGTGTTGTATGTGTGTGAATCTAGTCATATTTATGTACAAAGCTGTGTGTGTACATGTATGTGTGTGTTGCTGTATGTGTGTATACACAGTTGTGTATGTGCACATGTGTGTAGGTATAATCCATAGCAATATATATTATACAGCAATATATGTATACATAACCTTGTTTTTACCATAAAAGCTGTAATTCCACTCCTACATTCATTATGCCTTCTCAGGCAGGTAAATAGACTGAAACATCTCACTCCTTGGAAGCCAGGAATAGAACAAAGGGTGGGCCCTCTTTCCTTGGCCAGTGGTTGTGAAAGTAGGTGTTTTAGGAGGAGAGAAAGAAAGATTCTGACACAAAGTATTCTCTGAATTTATGTAGGGCTGAGATGAGTCCCATAGAGAAGACCCACTGTCTCTGGTGGTTTCCTGTGGGGGTTGGGAATTCAGATTATCTGTAGCCTGTTAGTGCCATGCGTGCAAACACCTCTTCCATTGCAGGTTACTGGGAGGAAAAATGGCCAGTGATACCCTGGGTTTCTACATGGACAAACTTAATAAATACCGCCAGAAGCATGGAGTAACAATTACGTATAAAGAACTTTGTACTACAGGACCTGCACACGACAGAAGGTAATTTGTCATCAGGAAAGGTATGACTAGGGCCAGGGAGGTGACTCAGTGGATAAGAGTTCTTGCTATGTAAGTATGAAGACTCGAGTTCAAATCCCCAGCACCCACATAAAAAGCTGAGTGTGGCTGAGAACATGCCTGTAAATTCAGCATTGTGCAGTGCTAGTGCGTAATCACACAGAGGTAAAACACCGATTTATTGAGGGGTTGCAGTGGATAGGGTCGAGTTCACAAATACAGAGAAAAGGCTGAAGCAGCCGTCCTGGGGCTCCCCTCATGCTAAGCAATTGCCAGAGCAAGAGAGCAAGCAGTTTCTGGCAACTTCTAGTGCAGTCATAGCCCCTCAGACCATGCCCTAAGGCCGGTATTATGAAAGCTAATTGACATAAACATAGAGCTAAGACAGGAGGATCGCAGGGCTTTCTGGCTGTCAGCCTAGCTCTAAGTTCAATGAGAGATCCTGTCTTAAGGTAGTAAGGCGGAGTGATAGAGCAGGATGCCGGGAGTCCTTCTCTGACCTCTGTATGCACGTAGATAATTCTCTCCCCCAACATGTGCATACCCCACACACAATCTTCTGAACACACACACACTCACACACACACACACACACCCTCTCTCTCAGAAAGTAAAATGGTGGAATGAAGGAAGGAAAGTGAGACCCAGATAACGGAGGTGTAGCTCACTGTTAGAGCATGTGCTTAGGGTGTAAGGCCTGAGTTCGATTCCAGGCATTTAAATGGGGAAAAAAAGAAAAGAAAAACCGAGCAAACACTAGAATGTCTGTCCCTATAAACGTGGAGTAGAGGGGGACAACTATGGTGTCATTCGTTAGTCGGTATGTCAGCTCCACAGGGAAGCTGCCAGAGTGCTGTGAGCGTCCTGCAGAGCCTGGGAACCTCAGAGGACTCGAGAAAAAATAGAGGCTGGAGCCATGTCTTAGTGAGTAAAGACATTTCCACCAAGCCTGATGACCTGAGATTTTCTCTGAGACCACATGGTGGGAGGAGAGAGGAAATCCCCAAAGCTGTCCTCTGATTTCCAACAAGCATGTCCTGTCTCGAGCACACAGACAATACATACATACACACATCCCACCCTACACTAAATAAATAAATAGGGGAAAAAACACAAAGCATGATAGCTCATCCTTATAATCCTAGTACTTGGGTAGCTGAAGCAGGAGGACTGTAGTGAGCTTGTGGCCAGTGAGACGCTGTGAAGAAAGAACTAGAAGAGGAAAGAAAAGAAAAAAGGAAGAAATGACAGACTTGTCCCTGCTTCAAGAAGACATTGTTATTTGAATCCTGTAATGCGCTTGTGGGGCAGTGGAGACCAGAGTGCTCGTCCTTAGGAGAATTACAAACTGTGTAATATGTTGTGAATGCTGTCTTTTTAATCAGGTTTACATTTAAAGTTATAATAAACGAGAAAGAATTTCCACAAGCCGAAGGTAAATCAAAGCAGGAAGCAAAAAATGCTGCTGCCCAACTTGCTGTTGATATGCTTAATAAAGAACACCAGGTGAGTAATTGGTTTTTCACCTGGTCAAAGGGAAGCTGTAAATATGTATGTACGTATGTACATACATATGTATGTATGTATGTAGACATGCATGTAATCATGTATGGATGTATGTATAATTTCTATCGCACAAATATGACAATTCTCTGAATCCATACATACATCAAATTATACATACATCCATGTGTGGTACATAAATTCATGCTTCATGTTATATACCATAGACATATGTAATTTTAATGTGTCATTTAGGATTTTTTATTAAAAGCATAATTTATTTTTGCAGATTTTTTCCTAATAGACATATAGACATTTTTAATAAGGAAATATAATTAGGAAGTCCATAATATGTATGTTGCGCCTTATGTTACTTATTTAGTAATTTTGTATGATAATTTGTGATTCATATTGAGCACATTTTCTTTTCTTTGTAGGCAGATAGTCATACGGACGCTTCGGAAATTAAATTAACTGATAATTACGTAGGCCTTGTCAATAGTATTGCCCAGAAGGACAAGCTGTCTGTAAATTATGAACTTGTCTCCGATACTCAGTCGCCCCAAAGGTAAGACATGGTTTGGCTTCTCCTACTGTTTCACTGTGTACCACCAATAACACTGAGAGGCTTTCACATGTAGCTTTCCAGATGTCTTTGCTTTCCCCCCTCCCATACACTTAGTATGAAAGGTTTATGAGGGTTTTTAAAAAATATTTATTTATTTATTATGTATACAATATTCTGTTTGTGTGTATGCTGCAGGCCAGAAGAGAGCACCAGACCCCATTACAGATGGTTTTGAGCCACCATGTGGTTGCTGGGAATTGAACTCAGGACCTTTGAAAGAGCAGGCAATGCTCTTAACCTCTGAGCCATCTCTTCAGCCCCCAGATTTATGAGTTATAAACACCAAACACCTAATTCCTGAGGCTGGAGGGTCCATTGGAATCAAGTTTGGCTGATTTGTTTTTCAGTAGCCTCTTCTTTCCTTGGCTTTGCTTTTGAGATTTCTGTTTCCTTTGGTCCACAAGACAGTGAGTGTGGTCCTGGAAGCTGCCTGAGTGAGAGGAAGGCCACTTTCGTCAACCTGGGAGTAGAGGAGGTCGCACTGATTGTTCTAGTTTATTATGAGCTGTTGTTAATCTTTTACTGTGAGTTAAACTTCATCATTGGAATGTATAAAAAAAAGAATGAGTATTTCTAGGGTTTGAAACAATCTATGGTTTCAGCCATTCAGTGACTCTTGGTATGTACCCCTGCGGAGAAGTGGGGTCTGCTGTTTTTGAGAGGCTTATGAGTGATTAGTCTGGCAAACATTTAAAGGAGAGCAGGATGACCATGCATGAGGCATGCAGGGTTCTTCCCTTCCCTGCGGCCGCTGCAGCTGCAGCTGTGTGATGACCAGTCTTCCCCCATATGGAGTGACTCTCCTGTTCTCAGCTAGGGAGCCGCTTGTCAGACTGTCTGCTGCTCTTCACGTCTGAATAGCTGGACAGTACACCATGGTTCAGCAGGGGTGCTCCTAGTCCTACACTGGGAGGAAAGCTGCTGTGAGGGACTTGATGTGTGTGTGAGCAAGCATCAGAGTCTGGAGGCTCTGAGAAAACCCCAGTGGGCTGACTTCCCCTAGTACTGCGTCCTCGTGATTATCCCCTTGAGCCCCACTCTGCCAGCTGGTTTCCTCTCCTATTTGGGCAGCTCCAGAAAATTCACTGAATCCCCGCCTTTTCTCTCGCCCTCCAAATCTTTTCTCTTGGGATTGAAGTTTTTGTTTGCTTGCTTGTTTTTAAAATCATCACGTGGTGTTTGCTGTCGGTCTTTCAATGAAACAAGAAAGAGTTAGATGTTACCTGGGAACTGTAAGCCAAGATATAGATTGGTGACCCTTTCTGTGGAGTTTAAATTATGTGAGGTAGGAAACATAAACACTCATCTCAAGGCCTTTGTTTTTCTGTAGGGTTCTTTTTTTCGCCCAGATTATACATTGATTGACAATATTTTTGGTATGTAAATTAATATTCACATTTTTTCTAGATTTAATTCTAAATGCAAAATTGGGTCGACAACATATGGTACTGGCTCAGGAGCTACCAAACAGGAGGCAAAGCAGCTGGCAGCTAAAGAGGCATATCAGAAGCTTTCAGAGAAGAGCTCACTGGTATGTGCTGTCAGTTATTGTAATTTGTACACTTACGATTCCCTCTGAAGTTGACTTCAGGTTAGATGGTTTGCATAATGCAGGCATTCGCCAATTGCATAACAAATGATTCCTCCATTCTGTGTATCACCAATGATCTGATCCATGAACCACGGGGCTAGGAGTTCTTAGGGACATAAAAGTTCTATGGGAATGCAGGGTTGCTTTTAAAACTTAGTTCAAACGTCCATGAAAATGTGTTGATTTTGCCATTGTGATTTTGTGATTGTGGACTGGGTAATATTTGGGAAATATATGGTCAGTAGCATGTGTCCGGGGATGAGCCACCGTAGAGAAGGAGGTTAGCTGCCTATAAGCCTGCTAAGGGCTGCTCCTTCTCTTCAGAGAGCTGACAGAGCATCCTCTGGACCAACCACATCTTCATCCAGTGGCCACTCAAGCAGCTCACCTATAACAAGCAATTCGTGAGTCTGGGTAGCCAGTGTGGTGAGTGGGCTGAGGGAGGGGCATGCTTGAGGCTGTGGGCCCAATCCCCATCACCTCCCTCCCCCAAATTAGGTTCCAGAACTCTCAGCCACCTATAACTCCAGCTCCATGGGATCCAGTACCCTCTTCTGGCCTACTGTGCCACACAGACACACACATACACACACATTCACTCACACAAATATACATGCACAAAAACACATAATAAAGGTAAACCTTCAGTAAACAAGATTGAATTCATAAAAGTTTTGCTTTTCTTCTAGTGCTTCTCCATCAGAGAATGACTCAAAAGGCTACTGGACCAGCTCTTCTTTCGAATCCCCTCTCATGGTATGGTACCCATCTCGAAGCTCCAAATTTCATTTTTTGTTTTCACTTAAAAATAACTTTTACATTTTAATTTTATGTCAATGTAAAATGAATTTTACATTTTAACTTTATGTGTCCTCACTAAATTATGATATTGACAGTCATTGTTCCTTTCT